TCCTTTTGACGTAATAGGAGGAGCTTATTCTTCTAAAAATATTTTGACAATGTGTGCATGCTATGCCTGCACACGCCATCTAGATCTGTATTGCTGTCTGTCTACACAACAGTTAGTGGCTCAAACAGCTGATGCACACAGCCCAATTTACAAAAATGGAAATCAATCTGTCTTCATGCCCAGATGTGGGATTAAGCAGGATGGCCATCTACTTACTGGTGTACCTATGAGCGGTAACTCCCATTATACCATTTTTATTTTACTTTTTGGAACCATAGAGGCCATTTTTCCCAGGTTAAACATGCATTGACAAACCTTTTTTTTCTTTAGAGCCTTAGTTTGTCTTTGCTACAGCAACACAGACTAACTCTCAGGACTCTATGAGTAATGGTGTCCTACCCTGCTCCCTCCACTGGGAAACTTTGGAATACGTACAGGGGAGATATTGCTAGGGAAAAACAAACACTGGGCTGGGTGGCTATCTGGACATACTGGGTGGCGTAACCAGGAAGGTTGTAATTATCTAAACACGTTTACAGGGCCTGACGAAGGCCCGGGCATTTTTTAATCACAGCGGCCCACTAAGAAGAGGGTGGGTTTTGTCATCACCAATGACAAACACATCTCCTCTCAAAGTGAGCATGTTGGTTCAATGCTCTTCCAGGGCAGACCGTGCGCAGAGCTCTGCTGAAAAGCTCTAGCATGAGAAAAAGGCCCTGTGTTTGTTTTGCACAGTGCAAGCTAATTTAATAACATGCTTGCACTGTGTTTCCTTGCAAGTTGCCTCTGGTGTCTCTATAAATGGGATACCAGGAGACAAAAGGGCCAGGAAGGAGTATTGTGCATGTGTTTGGAGCTTGCTTGTGGGATTGCGTGTGTGTGTAGAGTAAGCTAATTGTGGTGTGGTATGTAATACGGTTGGTTTTAGTTGTGTTGTGTTTGTGATGTAATGCATGTGGGGCTAGGGGCTTCAGAGAGGGTGTATAGCAGATGGACTTTCACAGTCTTACTACCAGGCCTGTATGGCCACTGGCCAAACCGGGCAAATGCCAGGTGAGCTCCGATGGCCATGGGCAAGCTTAACAGGGAAGAGCAAAGGATGTTCTGGGTTGGCACAGCCCTAAGAGGGCTCTCTATACTTTAATAGGCTGGTGGGGAAATCAAATATCTCCCTCACTGGCCCAGTAAATTCTAACTGCCTGGGTGAGGGAGAACTAGTCCACTTTAATTTTCTAGGTGCAGTATATATGGTTTTCTTGCGATGCACACTGGATACACAAACAGGGACACCAAACCACCAGGCATTGATGCCTCTGCTATTTAAATATTTTTAATAATTATTGAGTTAAAAAAAATAATTAATAAAAAAAACTAAATTAATAAAATCCCTATCCCAAATTATATACACACACAAAGTATACCCACACACACTCTACACCTTTATATACAAACACAATACCTTTGTACACACACTGTACTTCTATAATAATAATAAAAAAACTAGGTTCCCTATACACACCCTACTGCTCAAAAAAACCCCTACATAATGTAACCCTTACACACACACACACACACACACACACACACACACACACACACACTTGACTCAACTATAGCTACTAAAGACATATATACAGCCACTAAATTATGGAAGGAATGTATATCTGCACTCATTTCGCTTTAACCCCTGTATCACAACTCAACTTTGAATTCCATGTGTCGTCTTGCTCAGAAATGCTTCAGACTTGAGAAAGAGAGGTTCTCCCGAAAGCTTGTCATTAAAAAATTCTGCTAGTCCAATAAAAAAGGTATTACAAGATACAAATTTTGGCTGTTTTTTACATCTACATCACTGGACTAATACTAATATGGCTACGATCTCTACATATATATATATATATATATATATATATATATATATATATATATATAATGTCATTCTAAGTATATTTTAATATAATATATACCCCCATCATAGCCCACGGGGGAGCTCAGTCACTTTGCCCCATGCCAAAAAGTGCATTGTGCCTTTTGTTATTTTCTCACTTTCATTTTTATTCACACTTGGGTAGCACTATGTGCACATTATAGTTATATAAAAGAGAGAACATACAACAGAGGTGCCAATGGAAACCCCTGTTGGGTGCCATTCCCAATATCGAACCATTGAGAGTTCAACCCATTACAAAAATTTTGGCTTTCAGGGAAGAATAAAGTGACATAACTAGTTCTTTGAAAGTTCCCTTGATCCCAAAGGCTGTTAATGTTTCTGACAGAAATCTCCAGTTTACTCTGTCAAAACGCCTTTTCGGCACAGACAGAAATAAAAACTGTAGATAAATGTTCTTTTTTAATGTTTAATACTATGTTAGATATTTTCCATATAGTATCACCCCACAATCTTCCCATTATTAATACTGACTGATCTGTATGGATTAAATTTGTGATGACTGTACCAAGTCAATCTTCTAAAATTTTGGAAAAGATTATAAATTGAGGCAATGGCAAATTGGAGTAAGAAAGAAAGTTAAAAATAGTTACAATATATGACACTACAGGAAAAGAAATAAAACATTTGATAGAAAATGGAAAGCTAAGAGAAATCTTATCATATTAGGTGAGGTGTGAAAGGTGAGGGAAGAAAGGAAGAAAGAAAAAACTTTAGAATTTTTCTTAAATTTTTTTACAATATTTGTTTTTATATTTATAATAACAAAAGGGTATAATGTAGCTTTATTTATTTATCAAAGAAGATCAAATAAAGCACACAGTCTTATTTTTAGAATGGATGCTGCCTTACGTCAGCAGACAGTTCATATATATTTTTAATTTTCTTTAGTACCATCTACATGCCTTGGAAATTCAAACAGCAGTATCTTATGAGATAGCCTAAGGGCTGAAATAACTAGGAAGATTAAGACAACATTTAGTACATCCAATAAACATCCAATAAATGTTTACTACTGCAAGAAGGTGGTTAATTAGCCTTAAAAAAATAACTACAAAATTGTACTGTATTTTTTAAAATTGCCACTACATGTGATAGTAGGTACCTCTCGAGCTGCAGACCCAAAAGTACAGCGATGATTGGTCAGCAAAAATATGGTGTAATCTCACTGGGTCTATATACCAATGCACCACACAGTTGTACCCATGTTCTTTTATGGTTGTACAAATAGACAACCTATAACAAGATTCAAACATTCTCCTCCAGCACTCATTGTAAATTTCTAAGTCATGGTCTCTTTCTCACAGCTTTTAGAAATTAGTATTCCTGGCTAATCATGGCAGCTTATCACTTATGGGTAGCTCTGCCCTCAGCACCAGAACAAGACAGGAAACAATTCAAATGAGACCAACTGGATAAAGGGTCCCTCCTCCCTTCACACACCAGTTTTTTTTTCTGTCCTCAGACAGACAGGAATTTCCTAATTTTAAATGGTTTTATTTTTTGGCCACTTTGCCATGTGTACCATGGGTCTCCCAGACAAAGTTCAGCCTCTCTTTGTCTGAAGATCCCAGTGAACAGCCTGTTTAGAATGAGACTACTTTGAGACAATCTTCAAATATTCCTTCTTTACCGTGGATATTTATACAGCATGGAACAAAGGTAAAAAGTCAAGGTCATATATATTGTAAGTCCCTATCTATCTCCCTAAACAGAGTGTCTGCTTAATTTCAAGAGGATTGCGATTTGACAGACTAGCATTTCGTGTCAATTCGTATCTTTTTTCTACCAAATGCATTAGGTTTCTTGCCTGATTTATGTGCTCTTTTCAAAATGTTCCTCTAGTTGTTCGCCAGCTCCTTTCATGGGAATTTATATAGGAGTTCGTGTAAATTGGTGCGAATGAGTTGGCGTCCTGGACGCACGAATGCGCATGCGTTCGTTTCTATTTATTTTTTGTGGTTTCTTTTTTCGGTATTGTCAATTCTAGCTAACAGTACATTTGTTTAAGTTCATGCTCTTTAATTTCTGTTCGTGTCAATTCATTTTTTCCTGCAATAGAACTGAAGCAATAATTATGTGGCTGCCTGACAATAGATTTCAGTATTTCCAGGTTAGTATCTAAAAGGGGTAGATTCATGGTCAGTGGCGTACATACCAGGGTCGCAGGGGTTGCGACCCGGTATGTACGCCCAGGGCCAGCCTCTTCCCCTGGGGGGCCCAGGAGCCGACCACCCCAGGGCCCCCCTGAGGCTGGCCCTGCTGACCCCGGGTGGCCGGTCGGGCAAGCGGGCAGGCAGGCAGGCAGGCGGGCGCGCGCGCGAGGGAGCACTCCGTGCTTCCTCTTCAGCTCCCTCGCGCACCGCAATGATACCGGAGCCGGAAGATGACGTCATCTTCCGGCTCCGGCATCCCTACGCGGCGCGCGAGGGAGCTGAAGAGGAAGCACTGAGTGCTCCCTCGCGCACCCGCCTGCCTGCCTGCCTGCCCGCCTGCCCGACCGGCCACCCGCCCAGGAGCCCAGCAGACCACTGGACCCCAGGGAATCCCCCCAGCACTCCAAAAGGTAAGGAGGCTGGGGGGATTAAATAAAAAAAAAAAATCATGTGTGAGTGTTAGTGTGTGTGAGTGTTAGTGTGAGTGTTAGTGTGTGTGAGTGTTAGTGTGTGTGTGTGTTAGTGTGAGTGTTAGAGTGAGTGTTAGTGTGTGTGAGTGTTAGTGTGTGTGAGTGTTAGTGTGTGTGAGTGTTAGTGTGTGTGTCTGCTAGTGAGTGTTAGTGTGTGTGAGTGCTAGTGTGTGTGAGTGTTAGTGTGTGTGTCTGCTAGTGAGTGTTAGTGTGTGTGTGTCTGCTAGTGAGTGTCAGTGAGTGTGTTACTGTGTGTGTCTTACTGAGTGTGTGTGTCTTAGTGAGTCTGTTTGATGTCTGTTAGTGAGTGTGTGTGTCAATGAGAGTGTATGTTTTGTAAGTGAGTGTGTATGTATGTCTGTCGCTGACTGTATCTCTGTCAGTAAATGTGTGTGTCTGTTAGCTAGTGTGTATGCGACTGTAAGTGTGTGTGTGTGTGTCTTCAGCACTTACCTTTCTCCAGCGCCGGACTCCCTTGGCGCTGAGGATCCCTCAGCCTCTCAGCTCCGAATGCGACCGCGCATGCATTCAAACCGCCCATAGGAAAGCATTTCTCAATGCTTTCCTATGGACGTTCAGTGTGCTCCTCTAGCGGCTGTCCATGAGACAGCCACTAGAGGCTGGATTAACCCTCAGTGAAACATAGCAGTTTCTCTGAAACTGCTATGTTTTCAGCTGCAGGGTTAAAACTAGAGGGACCTGACACCCAGACAACTTAATTGAGCTGATGTGATCTGGGTGTCTGTAGTAGTCCTTTAAAGGACCACTATAGTGCCAGGAAAACATACTCGTTTTCCTGGCACTATAGTGCCCTGAGGGTGCCCCCACCCTCAGGGACCCCCACCCGCCCGGCTCTGGAAAGAGGTAAAACTTACCTTTTTCCACCGCTGGGCGGAGAGTCCTCCGATCCTCCTCTTCTCCTCCCCGTCGGCTGTATGCACACGCGCGGCAAGAGCTGTGCGCGCATTCAGCCGGTCACATAGGAAAGCATTCATAATGCTTTCCTATGGACGCTGGCGTGCTCTCACTGTGAAAATCACAGTGAGAAACACGCAAGCGCCTCTAGCGGCTGTCAATGGGACAGCCACTAGAGGAAATAGGGGAAGGCTTAACCCATTCATAAACACAGCAGTTTCTCTGAAACTGCTATGTTTATGAAAAAGTGGGTTAACCCTAGCTCGACCTGGCACCCAGACCACTTCATTAAGCTGAAGTGGTCTGGGTGCCTAGAGTGGTCCTTTAAGTGTGTGTGCATCTGCATGCACTGGCGTACATACCGCGGTCGCAGGGGTCGCAGCCCAGTAACCCCTGCGACCAGGTGCCCACCGCCATGTGTTGCGGCCCGGCCCGGGCGGGGGGGGGCCCACGGATAAATTTTCGCACCGGGGCCCCATGGGTCATGTGTACGCCACTGTTCATGGTGTATATGTTAGTTTCTTCCTGTAATAAAACTAAAAAGAAAAATGTTCTCTTTCTTCTCTCTATAGTATGGCATCTTCTGCCTACAGACACTCATTATCTAGAAACCCAAGGTGAGCCAATATACTATAATTATATTGGGGATGAAAAGACAGCAAAATAAGCCCAAACATATTTGGATGGTTTGTTATTCTCGTTGCAGCCCTAGCAGAAGCTGGGAAAAATTCAAGGAGAAGAGCAATCGCTGTGTGAGCTGTAACCAGATAGCACCAGAAGGCAAGAACCTATGTATCAAATGCCTAAGTGAGGTTGCTGAAGAAAATACTAAAAGAGCATCTCCTCAAGAGGAGCTAAAGGTCTGGATTTCCCAAGCTATTGCGGAAGGCTTTAAGGCTACAACTACAAGCATGGGTCAGTCTAAACGCTCTAAAATTGAGACAATTTCTTCAGAACCAAGCTCAAGTTCAGAATATGAAGCAGAACGCTCTGAAGAAGATGAGCAGGAAATATATCACAGGAATATAGACTCCAGAATGATGGACATACTGATTCTTCTTATTGGAGACACCTTAAAAATCCAGGAGGAAAAAAATAAATGTCTGGAGTCGGATAGATATTTTGAAGACTTGAAACCATCAAGGTCTTCATTTAAAGAATACAGCTTCTAGAATGTATCCAGTCTCTTTGGAAGAGGTGGGCTCAGTGGAATTCCAGGCCAATTCAAATGCATTTCTTTCTTAAATTTAGAAAACTAGAGAACAATTGGGACCAAGAAATCCTGATTCCGCAACACATAAAGAACCATCTAAGGTGGTGGCTATCCAGTCACAATCTCCAGAAACGTTTTTCTTTAGAAAAAACAAACTGGATCAGTATGACAACAGATGCCAGCCTAAAAGTTTGCGGAGGCCATTTCAGATCCACTTGGACTCAGGGAACCTGGTCTCAGAGGGAGAAGAAACATTCCAGCATAAAAGAGTTAATAACCATCCACAAATCTTCGAAAGTTTTTCTTCCAGATCTTCAGAAGAAATGGGTGTCAATTCAGACAGACAACAGGGCAGTTGCAGCGTATATCAATCATCAAGGGGGCACCAAGAGCACATGTCTTCTTTCAGCTACTGAACCCCTCATGATCCTGGCCAGAAACACCTGTTGGGTCTGAAAACCCTGTACCTACCTGGAGTGGACAATACCATAGCAGACTATCTGAGCAGAGAAGTTATTCAGGAGAATGGAGCCTACACCCAGAGGTATTCAGGATAATCACTCAAAAGTGGGGCATACCCCAAATCGACCTCATGGCAAACAGAGAATGCACAAGTACGGGAATTTGTCTCAGATCCTCCTTTAGCAGGTCAAGATGCCCTGTCCCAACCATGGAATTTCGATCTGGGGTATTTGTTCCCTCCCCTACCTATCATTCTTCACCTATTGAAGAAGATTGGCAAAGAAAGGAAAAAGAACATTTCCATTATCCCCATATGGCCAAGGAGACCCTGGTATCTGCTCTTACTCAAGATGGCCATATCAAGCCCCTGGAGACTTCCCCCCAGGAAGGACATTCTAATCCAAGGCCCAGAAATTCATCCAAACCCATTAAGTTCAGCCTTCCTCAAAGTAGTTTTTTGCTGTTGGTCCAAAAGAAGCCAAAAAAAAAAGTTTGAAGCACTTCCAATTTTGCAACAAACTAGGAAAACAATTTCCCTCTTGACCCCAGAATGGCAGTCAGATTTATTCTTGTTTCAAGAAGCTTTTACCCTACAGTTGAAAAATGATGTAATTGAATATTATGTATTTAAAGTATGCATGTAGTTGCTGTTTAAACATCTGTACAAACTCTGACAAAACCACTTCTTCAGGCAGATAATTCCACATCCTTATTGTTCTTACAGTAAAAACCCTTTCCAATGCCTTAGACTAAATCTTCTTTACTCCAGTCTAAACATATGACCTCGTGTCCTATGTATAGTCCTGTTTGTGAATAGATTTCCACACAATGTTATCATATCCCCTTCCGAGGTGACCTTTTTTTCTAAACACACATTTTCTTACCACACACATTACTATTGTAATACATACACTACTTGTATGTCCAGATTTTTTCTTTATTTTTTACTGAGTAGGTCCATTGTTTCATAATCTGGCTGTAAAATATGGTAAACTTCCAAATTGTGTATGTTATTTATTATTTGCTCTATTCTATAGTATTATCTCTCATTTGCTTGCACAAAGTAATAATAATGCCAAAAAGCAGGCCCATTCTTTTGGTGATATGAGTGGGGTACTAAACCTGAGCCCCTTCACTCTGTGTGGGTACACAAACATGACCATCACATTTGGATTACTCTCACAATGAACTATCTGGGTGTCAGGCATAGAATTAAAGAGATACTATAGTGTTACAAATATAAATTTGTATCCCTAACGATATAGTGTCCTGTTCTACTAGTATTAACCCTCCCACCGTGTACATTCAAATAAAACTTACATTTTTCCAGATCCTGACATCTCCAGCTCCCATGACATCAAGGAGAAAGATGGCGTCCTCCTCAATGGCCAAGCCAATACTACTCATAGAGGAGCATTGGGCATCTATTGCGCATGTGTGCAAGAGCCATTCGCACATACAAACATCCCCATAGGAAAACATTGAATCATTAGACTAAATCTTCTTTACTCCAGTCTAAACATATGACCTCGTGTCCTATGTATAGTCCTGTTTGTGAATAGATTTCCACACAATGTTATCATATCCCCTTCCGAGGTGACCTTTTTTTCTAAACACACATTTTCTTACCACACACATTACTATTGTAATACATACACTACTTGTATGTCCAGATTTTTTCTTTATTTTTTACTGAGTAGGTCCATTGTTTCATAATCTGGCTGTAAAATATGGTAAACTTCCAAATTGTGTATGTTATTTATTATTTGCTCTATTCTATAGTATTATCTCTCATTTGCTTGCACAAAGTAATAATAATGCCAAAAAGCAGGCCCATTCTTTTGGTGATATGAGTGGGGTACTAAACCTGAGCCCCTTCACTCTGTGTGGGTACACAAACATGACCATCACATTTGGATTACTCTCACAATGAACTATCTGGGTGTCAGGCATAGAATTAAAGAGATACTATAGTGTTACAAATATAAATTTGTATCCCTAACGATATAGTGTCCTGTTCTACTAGTATTAACCCTCCCACCGTGTACATTCAAATAAAACTTACATTTTTCCAGATCCTGACATCTCCAGCTCCCATGACATCAAGGAGAAAGATGGCGTCCTCCTCAATGGCCAAGCCAATACTACTCATAGAGGAGCATTGGGCATCTATTGCGCATGTGTGCAAGAGCCATTCGCACATACAAACATCCCCATAGGAAAACATTGAATCATTTTTTTCCTATGTGAGGCTCTGTGTCATGTGATTGAGTTTTAATCTAGTGACTGTCATACTGACAGAGTGCAGGGTCTCAGGCTAAGTGCCCTGCTTGTGTCACCAAAGAAGGGGCCTGCCTTTTGGTAATATTATTAGTGTACAAGCAAATTAGAGAGTTTACTATAGAATTGTGGAAATAAGAAATAACACAATATATAAAAAAAATTAATGTATCCATAGATGACAGCCACTAGAAATCTTCATCCAGTAACGTTGCAGTTTCCAAAATATCTGAAAATTTTTAAAATGTAGAGTTAAAAGGACAGGGACACTGCACACAGGCCCAACTTCATTTAGATGGAGTGGTCTGCGTGACTATAGTGTCCCTTTAGGCACAGACTGCCCAGCACCCAGATACTGCAGTGTGGGCCTTGTAGATGCTTTATAACGTTGAAACAGGCAGAGGGTGTCAAAAGAAATTCAATAAATAGTTTAATGATTTTTGCCAAAAACAATATACGTTTATACTTTCACGTATAGGTAATAATACAACATAGAAAAAGAAAAAGTGCAAACCTCCAAATATCAAGATGTGCAAACAAACAACAATAAGGTGCTTAAAGAGTAATGATGGTGGATAATAGCTGGTACACCAATCAATGCATTTTGTATAATGACTTTCTAAAGATTATATTTGAGCTAGAGAAAGACCTGTATTAAAACACACAGCCATCAGCTCTCAACCCAAGTAAGGCAGATCCAATTTGGGAGCTATGCTATTAGGATTAGGTGCTGAACACCCAATTCCATTTGGCTACTTACTATTTGTTTCCACCCGGGGGAATGATGAAGGTAGAACCATTATTCTTTGATGTCTTGCAGAATTTTATTTTACCCTCCACTGCACTGCACAGGAGGTGGGAGTAGGAGTCGGAGCCACTTGCCTGGTCTCTTCTGGGGATCATAAATGTAAAGTCGGTGTAATATTTATGATAGGCCAAAAAAAAAAAAGTCACGCTCTAACAGGTGAAGTTAGTATAAGCATACCCGGACACATTGCAGCAATTACCCTAGTGGGATACTATTATTATTCTTTACAAAGCACCAACACATTTTTCAGTACTGTACAACGGATGGACCAACAGACAAGTATGTATAATCAGACAAATTGGACGCACAGGAACAGTCCATTTTGAGGGCCCTGTTCAAATGAGCTTAAATTCTAGATGGAGTGGGACAAAGTGGCACAAGACAATTTTTATGACAGTTGCAGGAGAG